AAAGATGCAATTTACTGGTAGTTGTTCATTGAAGCTGCCACGTCTGGAGCTACCACTGCCCACTTCCGGAGGTTCTCCAAGAAAGAAAATGGAGGGTTTCCCCCGAGAATGGCGGTTTCTTAAAAAAAAAAAAAAAACGGTACTGTACCCAGAATAGAAGCCTGGGAAGTGGAAACATGGACCAAAACCTGCGGTTTGCCCCCCTGCTGAATTTTGAGCAGCCATCTCCACCGAACCCCGATCCGATTCCCCGCGCCCAGCAAAGCCGATCCGCATCCGACCAAGGAACTGCCACGCGCACGCGCGTCCAAGTCTTCGGGCCGCAGCAGCTCCGGATCTTCTCCTGACCGGGAAACATCCCCAGCTCCAAACCACTTTTTTGAGAGGGCTCCCCACCCAGAGGCTCCCGATGGATTTTGGGCCCAAACAACCAGGTTTTGAGACCCCCAACCACCTCCGGGGTGTCTAATGGAGGGGTCGGGTCTTCCATTGAAAGGCTCAGGAGCCTCTGGGCAGTAAAGTTCATAGCCATAAAGTGACTTGTATCAATGGTACCCTTGCCCTGCCTTCACACGAATATCCAGTATCCACTACCCAGAGGCTCCGATCGGCTTCGGCTTTGAGTGGAAGACCCGACCCCGAAGTAGAAGAAACACCCCGGTGCTTGGGACCCGGTCTCAAAACCTGGCTCTTAAATCGGGCCCTAAATCCATCGGAAGCCTTTTGGAGAGGGAGACAGAAATCCTACACTAATCCGCTTCTCGCACCACCTAAGAAACCCTAAAATGATGGTTCCCCAACGTAAATACCAGCCAACCATGGTTTCAACCATGGTTTCATTTCGTGGTGCGAATTGGATTTCGCAACCATCCACAGCATGGACTAGGGGGAAATTTTCCGGGTTGCAGGTGGCTTCTAGGGGTTCGTGGATCAGGTTAGGTGGCTTCCAGGTCGCCAAAAACTGAAATTGAGGGACCCCTGACCCCAGGAAAATCCGACGGCAGGGGTCCCATGGCTTCCCTTGCTTTGAGTTTGGTGCCCAAAACGAGTCGACGTGGTGGTTCTACTAACATGTTAAAGGTGCGACAGGGGCCACCCCTGGTTCCTTGCCGATTCCCATTAAAGGAATGCTCCTGAAGTTAGGAATACTGGTGGTTATATTAACCACCTTTGATTTAATGGTCCCGGTGGTCTGAACCCTAGGGTCATTGGATTTAGCCCCTTAAAAGCTGCAAATGACTGGTGGCTTCCAACAACATCGCCACTGTTGGAGGTCTAAGCAAAAGGAAAAAGAGGGACCCCTGACTATTCTATTGGGTGTGGCCTTTCTTGGGGGGACCGGCAAAATGATGGGTTCTCCTTTGGCTTTCCCTTTAACACCACAAAATAGGGCACCCTCAACAAAAGACCCCACGATTGGTTCTACTGATATGGCTGTAATGGTAAATGGAAACATGGACTAACAGCTGCCGTCCCTGGTGGTTTTCAATTTGACCCATACATGGTCAGAATGGCTTACACTGGCTCTACAACCCCAATTTCCGCCGGTGTAGAAGCACCTACGTAAATGGCCGTTTGGGGGTTTTGACGCACCTGCAGATTAAGAGCTTAGCTTGTGTGAGTGTGTCTGTGTGTGTGTGTATTTATGAGTGTACTCTTTTTTGCGGGTTTGAAGGAAAACCATTAGGACAACTACCAGTCTGCTTGGGGGGGTTCCCCCTCCTTTTGTCAGGGGAGCAAGCCGGGTGCAATACAGCTGTTCTTTGCTTTGCTCTGTCCTGTTTTTCTTTTTTGCTTTGTTTCGTCTGTGGGTGTGTTTGTTAGTTAGCGGTATTTGTTGTGTGTTCATGTGTGGGCATGCATGTCGCTCGTTCTGGGGCTTCCCTCAGTCAGAGACAAGGTGAAATATGGGCACCTGGTAAGTTACACCATCCAAACTGCCAACGGCAAGAACCGATCAAGCTGCAATTCCCTATCGCCTTTTTTGGAGTTGGTCTCCTTTTTGCTAGGTTTCAAAGGGAAGCCAAAAGGAAAACCGACAGATGCCATGTTGGGTGGCTCCCTTAAAAAGAGACACACCCACATATTCTTTGTTTCTCAGGTCAGCTAGCTTCACCAACCGAACTCAGGACTCGTCAATGAAGAAACCTTTGTATAGGTGGATCTCGAAAAACACCCCCCAAGTGAGCTCGGGGGATACTTGGCGCAGATGGTATCCTGTTCTCCTCTGAGTAAAGCATCTTGGGAATCCACCGTTAAACAAACAACATTAGATTACCACTTTCAGGGGCAACCAGATAGTTTGTTCCATAAAGTAGCCGAAAAAGGACAAAAGGGCCAGCCCGGTTTCTGCTCCAGGGGGAACACCCACTCACAAACAGAACGAAAAAAGACACCTTGATCTCTCATGAAGGGAGTGCTGCTTCACGGCTCAGCGGCTCAGCCTTGATACTTGTGACCCTGCGTCTGCTGGCACCAACCACACTCTTCCATTTGGTGAAGACGCCTGGGGGGAAAAAATACAAACAACAAATCGTATTTCCAGTAATTAGTGAAATCGATTCCCTTTAAAACCAACTGGGGAAAATAACAAAAATATTCTGAAAAACAGGCGATTCCATGTCCGACAAGGCAAAAAACAGGAAATCGGAGCACCTGTCGGCTTTGAAGGCTGGCTCCGATTCGGAAGATTGCGACCGGATAGGCTTTCCAAAGACTTAAGTCTTTTATGATCTGTTCCCAAATAACCAGAAGGAAAAGGCCAATCTACATCAGTCTACAACCCCGCAACTTTCTAGGGGTAGCTTCCATATCCATTCATTCCACGGATCCGAATCTTTCTAAGAAAACCACCAAAAACCCAGGGAAAACGGGCGGCTTTTGAAAAGAACGATGGCTGAAATAATAGAAAAGGAATTATTTTTTAGAAACTTGCGACAGGAATCGCTCTGGGTGGCCGGACCAAACACCACGGCAGCTGCAGCTGCAGCTGGCACGCCACAAAGGGCAGCGAGTCGTCCCAGCCGTAGTTCACGAAGTGCCACCCGTCCATGGCGTAACGCTCTCCGGTCTCCGGTCTCCGGTGCCGATAGCCCGGTCGCTGCGTTAACGTTGTTTAATTTGATTTCCCAAGTGACACTTCGGCAGCCTTGGGGTTGAATATTTCCAGGTGGGGTGAAGGTTTTAAGGTGTTGTTGGTGTTCAAGGTGCTTGTTGCCTTGGTCTTTGCTACGGTGTAAGGTGATTTCCCCCTTATCCTTTCTAACATTGTGTTCCCCCCTTTTCGAGGTCCCAATTTGCAGCACTGGGTTGTCCCCAAACTTGCTCAAGGCCATCAGTGCGATGGAATTTTGTTGCGTCCACACGAAGGTGATGAGGTCCAAAGCTTTGAAAGGTTAAAACGGGGAGTCTAGACACGGCGTGAGCAACACAGAGACCATCACACGGGTTTTCCATTTGGGCTTGTCTTTACAATAGGGGACCCCCAATTTGCTTGGTTTCCTCTGCTTGTTCACTTTAACATCCCAAAAAGAGGTTCATTTGGAGAGAAAAAAAACGAGCCACCCATTTGCGCTACACTTCGCTCAGGTTCGCCAGCTGGCATGTCCCTTGCGTTTTGTCCGGTGCCAAAGTTTTGAGCGTAGCGAGCCAAGTCTTCCTTGGACCAGCCTTGAACCAGTGTTGGCATTGCTCCAAATGCGATTGGTGCGCTTCCGACATTCTTTCCAGAAACCCATATCTGCTCAAACAAATGACAACAAACGAGATGCAAGCCAAAAGAACCATGGGCGGCAAGAATGGGTGATTCGCCTCTTTAAAGCTTCCGGTTCTTCTATGTTCCTCGTGTCGATGCTGGAAGCTAAGTGGCAATGTATCGGATAGCTGTTTGGACAAAACATGTCCGGGCAAAGTACTATGCATACTCCTAAAGTAGGGAGCCCCCAGGTAACAAATGACTCCACTTCCACTATACAAGGAGGCCAAAACGTGCCCCCACATGACGCTTGCCCACTGAAACCAAGTTCGGCCGCATCTCAAACACGTGGAAATCCAATTGTCAACATCGATCGCAACTGGCAACCCCAAATCAAGGGGAACTTCCTTCCATGTAGCCGCGTTTTTAAACTTTACAGACATCCCCACGTTTACAAGCCTCTTAGTAAAAGCCTTGTGCACCTGAACCTCCATTCGCTTAAGTCCCATGCAAAAAGAAAAGTAGATTTCCAGTAGTGAAATCGATTCCCTTCAAAACCAACAGGGGAAAAAAGATAAATAGTAGCTCCTCTGCAAGTGCTAACCAAACAAATAACTTTCCAGGAGAAAATGGAATAGAAGAATCCCATGGTCAGCCCCAAAGAGGGACCCCCAAAAAGAAACCCAAGAAAGCCTCTAGGCTGACCAGAAAAGCTATTGGAAGTCATAGGACCTGGACCAAGCCGACGGCTTCTGGTGCCGGGTGTGCTCACGGAGCCAAAAGTAGGCGACCAAAAATAGTGAGTTGGTGAACCCAAGCCCATGACAGGAGGGGAGGGGCAATTATTGTGCTTCTGTCATGTGTCTTACATTACTTAATGGAAGAATATGGATGATTTACCTGAAGGTGACATCATCTTGACTAACTTACCCGAAGTTTTCCCATTTTCCTGCCCAAGGAGAAATGAATTTTGATAGGGGGCCCTGTGGTGGACATCACACCTCCGGAAGACCGCGCCACCTCCCTCCAGCCCAATGGCTCCTAGGTCCTCCAGTAGTTTGAGGTTAGAATAAGGGTACCCGATTTTTTTCTGTAATCTATTTGGCCATGCGTCAAAACCCCGGTTATCCCCCAGCGAACATCCCAATCCCCACTAAAATAAACAGGTTCTAAAATGGGTGGTGATACCCCAACATGGGATCCCATTGGTTTTGACCACCACAGCCATTTTACAAAAAAAGAAAAAACTCCCCAACCAAACCGGCTGAGAGGCCGGGCACCTGGAAACACCTGGTGCGAGGCGCGCCTGGGCCTGGAACTTGCTGCCGGTGGAGCGGAGCTCCAGCGGCTCGAAGGCGTAGCCCCAGCCTCTTTGAGCGCTTCGGGCGCTTGGAAGGACCAATGAACCGGGCCCAGCCCCAAAGACACATACGTGTGCATATACATACACATGTGTATATATATATGGTGTATATATATATATACATATATATATATATATATATTTGTCATACACATATGAAAGAGAATGCGAAAACGCATACATTCACATTATACAGTTATACATTTATATATATATATTCACATAAGATAAGCAATCATTCAATCCCATAGGTGGAGACTAGGAGGATCTTCCCCAAGGCCTCTGAGTCTCTGCCGATGTTTTGATGAGAACTTGCAATCGGTGCGAACTCGGCAGGTAGGGAAGGCGATTTGGAATGAACCGTTTTGGGGAGTCCCGAAAAAAAAAATCCACCGGTCGGATGGTTTTGGTCGGGGTCATTCTGATTCTCATTCACTGAGCACCAGCAAGAAAAGGGTCCAACCCCCAAGACATGTCCCCCACATAACAGGGGATTCGCACAAGTATCACAGTGGTTGGACTAACCCCGAGTGATCACACAACACTAAACTTCTAAACATGGGTGGCTCGTCTTTCTCCCCCCAAATGGTGCAGCGGCGTTTCCTTTTGGTTCCCGTTAACACCAAACAAAGGGTATGCATTGTGGTTCTTCCTGCAGTTTCCCTTTAACACACAAAGGGAACAAAACAAGAACAAGAACGGGTACCCAAAACAACCCTTGGCAAAGTAAACAAATTTGAAGAGAACCAAAAGACCTACATACCAAAAAACACAACCAAAAACAGTGAAGTCAACATGCTGTGGATGGACAAAATCCGTTACGCTCGGCAACACTTGGGGATTGCTATTTTTTGTTATCCCAGTATTCATAGGGTTTCACCATTTCCAAGAACTGGTGCAGAGGTTTTGTTTTTCAGCTTCCTTTTTCGGTGGTTATTCCGAGAAACCAAACAAAACACCAACCCCCCTCGAGGAATTGGTCCCGATGGAGACCTGGCAAGATGTAGAGAAGGAGGTTCCTGTACTCATTTACTCCCTGGATTGGCCAACCGATACACGGCTGCAAACTGGCCATCGGAACTCATTTTTGAGCGTCTTCCACAAAAAAAAAGAAAAACAACTAGTCCCCAAATGGACGTCCCCAAAACGGCGCCAGCTTTCCCTTCGAGGTTTTCCTTAAAACATCAAGCCCAAAACAAAGGGTACCAACTCGAAAAAAACGAGGCGCCGCCCATTCCTTCACCAAACCTCTGGACCACCCGCCGGCCGCGGCCGGCTAATCCGATGCCTCGGCCTAAGGCTCGGGCGATTGAAGGAGCCCACCAGGAAGTATCGGTCCTCCACTGCCTCCGAAAGGTCTCGGCGATCCTTATCAAACGAACAGAATAAAGCTCATCAAACGAAAAGAAAGCCTGAAATCATAACTAGCTCCAGATTTGAGAGGTTAGAAGAAGTTGGTACCCTATTTTTTTCAGTTGTCTATTTTAGTAGGGGAATCCTCCCAAAAAAAGGGTGAGAAAGGGCACTACTGGGGACCTAGTTACTCTCGCCCATGCCAAGAGTGCTCTCCGGTGTTGTGGGAGTTGTTTAGTAGGTGGCTGCAAAAAACGGCCAGTGTTTTGCAAGGGTTGTAAAGATGATCTCCCATCTTTCTCTCGCCATATCAAGGGTTGTAAAAATGATCTCCCCCAGCTAACAGAGAAGCTCGGAAGCTCCCACAACCCTTTTGGGACTTGGTTGCATTTACCCATGGGAGTCATGTATCAGGTCGCTCGATGCCTGGTGCGCCATAAGTGAAAATAGCCTCAGAGGGGAGGACTCGGCAGGATTGCTTTACACTCCCACCACATATGGATCCTGATGCTTCGGAAGGGTCATGGTTTGGACCATGTTAATTGCTGGGAGGGTAGTGGTTGAAATTGACCATCCTTGCAAAGAAAAGAAGAAGATGTCAATAACTCCAATCTTAAGTCGACGGGTATGGCTGGGACTGCCAAGTTACGCCCCCAAAAGAATCAAATGCGCAGACATGAGTGAGAACATGTCCAGGGAATTGGCGCAAACAGTTTAATTCTGTGCAATCATCATAGAAGTGGGCTAGGGGCCCGATTTCACTATCTTGGCGCTTTGCTGCTTCCCTGCGGAGAAACAGACTTTTGCGGAACATGTCTCTAAACTTTAAACATTCAGAAGCCAAAGGGTGTGCCTGGGGACCGCCTCGGACCAAATTCAATGTGCAAACGTTCCCGTGCAAAACCATATCCAGGGGCATTCTGGCAGGCGAATTCCCTGCAACATCAAGTTATGCCTCAAGAATATTTGAATCATTATATAATTTATTTAGTATTTTATTTAATTCATTTGTACTGTTTTTAATCGAATTTATGTCTCCATTCCCATGCCACTTGCAAGACATGGTCAGGCCAAAGGATTTGATGCTGCGTGGCCAGAGAGATTCAGCCCAAAAGTCATGGATCGCAAGCTGGTGGTGCAGTGCAAACCCGCCCTAGCAATCTCTTGTTAGCCATATCGTCTTTGGGGTGTCAAACAAAGGTTATGCGTGATAACGACCCACATGCCGTGTGAGTCGTCGTCTCAAAGGACAAACAGTTTGGTGAGTAAACCGACACTTGTTAACCCCTCACCCCACCCACTGCAGTTGTTTTGGGGGCTTTTCCCATGCGCCAAGCTTAGACGCTTCTTCCGTGGGTGGATGGCAAAGCTCCTCTTTTGCAGGCCTCAAATCTATTCTCAAGATGCGCCCCCCTTGGCTGGATGGTGTGGAAGAGCAATCGATAAACCAACCCCCGAGGCTCATTCGCTTCGCTCCGAGCCCTCATCCGGGAAGTTCAATTTGGTCGGGGAAAAAAAATAGGCCAAACAAAAATCTGAGGACCCATAGCTCATGACGGCTCTCCTTTGGCTTCCCTTTCGGACCACCTACTGTGGATGGAGAAGCGAAATCCGTTCGCACCACGAAATGAAACCACGGTTGAAAACCCAGGGGATCGAATCATGAACCGGCGCCAGGTCCTCCAGTAGAGAGGTTAGAATAAGGGTGCCCTTTTTTCAGTAGGGGAACCCTCCCAACCAAAAAAGGGGTAAAAGAAAGGGCACCTAGCTGGGAGACCTAGAGGGTTTCTGAGCTACGGCTACCCCAAAACACCGGCCGACCCTCCAGACTGCTTTGCGCGCGTCCCCGCCTGACTGGGTCGCGACCCGACCTTCTCCCAGGTCACCCGGATGTCAGACCTTGGCGCGTCGAGCTCTCAGCTGGTGGTCAGCGATTTTGTTTAGGATTCGGACCCTTCCAAAGCGGGCGCGTCTTGCTTCGAGGGTGTCCCTTTTTTGCTTGGGCGGTTTTAAACGGAATTTGCTAACCATTCGGGGTGATTTCCTTTTAATTTCCCTTCAAAGCCGACAAAAAGGGGGGAGCCTCAAAAAAATTGGCACACCCTGACTTTGGCGCCCGGAACTTTGAATCTTCGCAAGGCTGGTGATGGGGTGAGAGATGAGACGCTGACACGACGAGAACACGCGTGTTCTATTGGCCCCTTCTCGTTCTCCGTGCCAATCCACAAAACTCCCAGAGAGATTTGGCACACAGATCTGCAAAATGAACTATAAGTCTTTAAACAAAAATGAATGAAGGGATCTGCAAGTAAACGACCGTTTTCATCATGAGCTCGTTTTACCCCTTGGTGAGCTCGCTAAAGCAGAGAAAGAAAGACAGATGCAAGTTTACAAAAGAGGCCATGAACCGCACGATGTTTTCAGAACTAAGCGGGGCTTCTAAGAAAGTGGATTTCAAGAACATCACAAGAAAGTTGGCTCAACTTGCTCCATTCAGATGTTGCCTGAAAGGGCCTTATGTGCATCAATGCGACTTGTCCATGTACCAGTGTGCGTGTCCGACTCGAGTGCTTGAGCGCAGGAATGGATCCTCACTAGAAACTGACGATTCCAGCCAGAGTCTCCTAATCTACCTATATGCAAGAGTTGATGATCCACCGAAGCTTGCTCGAAACATCAGCACAATCCATTCCAGTTCACAAATCAAAAACAGGGAACCCCGAAGGAAATGGGCGGTTTGGTCCTTTCACTGCTGGATCGGTGCCATGGTTTTGTTTGGATCACCAGGGCGCTTCCCACTTGGAAAGAACGAAAATGTGTATCCGAATCTGTGCAAGGGTCACTTTTCACGCTGACACCACTCACACTGGAGTCATCCGCATGGGCTCAAAACAAATGGAGGGAGTGTGCCCGAGGCACTCGCTGGGCAAAGGTGCAGCTTGGACACTTCTCTTCGACGAGTTCCCCAGCTCTCCCTCTAAGTCTACAGGGCGCCACTCAAAAGACATATCTAACATGTACCCATGTCACGTGTTTCTTCAAACAAACACCATGTCCCACAATGTGGGAACTTAAGTTAAAAATTTCTACCTACAGCATTTTATGTTTTGTCTGTCACCTGAGTTTTCTCCAGAAACCGTCCCAAAAACAAACACGGTCGCCAAAGCTACGGCTGTGATTCATTCATACTGCGGGTGGACAAAATCCTGCCCCACTGAAACCATGGTTGAAACCATGCCGTTTGTTGGTATTTTTACGGTCAGGGGATCGAAAAACATTCCAGGGTTTCTTAGCTGTGCTGTGCAAATTGATCCCCTGCTACAAGCGAATAACTTCTAGTTAAACCAACTAAAGTTGATTACAGTGAACGGTGGATTTTGATTTTCCATCCACTACTTTTTATTTATTGATTGTTTGTTACTTATTTACTTTATTTTTTTAAAACTCCGCGAACTCGGCGGACGCGGTCCTTGGCACCCTAACCCTTCGATCAGAACCCCTCAGAAGCCCAAGAGCCTCTCACAAGTGGGAAATCCGGTCGAATCATTCCACCAAACCAGGCCGTGAGTGAATCTGCAAAAACGAGAAAAAAAAAGAAGAAAAACAAACATGCACCCAGCCATCCCCAAGTTCTGCTCACCCCCCTTCTAAGAGCTACTGTAGGGAAAACGCCTCGTAAGGGTCTCTAGGTCTGTCCCAAGTTGACGTGCTTCGCAGGGCTAAGTTGGTCGGAAAAGGACAAGACCTCGGAGCCAGGCCACACTTTCACCGTTGTATCCAAACTTGACATCCTCAAGCTCTTACACACACACACACACGAAAACACAGTGTCAGAAAGGAAACCTGGACGCAACGGTGGCTAAGAAGGACATGCCCTCAAAATGCGGGACGTGAAAAATGGGTCCAAGGCTTTCCTCGGTTCCTTCCGATAAAAACGGGGAGCTGTTGGGACTATTGGTTCCTTCCGTGGGAGATTTTGGGAAGACGCATTTTGCGAAAAGTAGATCAGGAGCTCTAATGGGCCTGAGGACTGCGCAGGTCGCCGGGGTCTCTGTGCAGTTCCACCCGGTACACCTGGCGACGCAACTGACGGGACGCGACTGACAAACACCGGGCGACGAATTGGCCAAAAGTTGATTTGGGCTAGTCTTGTTTTGGAGTTGGTACCCCTTTTTTGGTTTGTGTTTTAAGGGAAACCTGCGGGAACTCTGCTTAGCCATCTTGATGGTCACACCCATTTGTTTGTTTTCAAAAAGCATTACAGTAAGTCTATGTTTCTTGTTTCCAACTGCATGAAGTCCAGGAATTCAGGGAGTGGTCGGGGGGCACGAAAGGCATTCCCCCAGGAGATTTATACTTTTGCGGTGGCAGTACGTTCTTCCCAAGGGTTGACTCAGCCTCAACCTCGCCTCTGTTGTCCAAGCTGCTTATCCGGTCATTTTTGGGGGTTTCGCCATGAGCGAATTCTGCCCGAAAATGCTGTCCTGAGATTGGACCCCGATTCATGGACCAAACCATAAGATACAACCGCAAACCACCGTTGAACATGTGTTCCTAAGCAAGGCTGATCGGCACGGGTTCCCAGCCAAACATATGCTCCTAATGCTTTCTTGAGTCTCAAAACTTCGGCACTATTTCGAATCGGCGGGCCCGCCAAGGATCAAGGATTTGTCACATAGGGTAGGGGGTCCTTTGGGGAAGAAGCTGGAGGAAAAAACAGGTATGCAGCTTCCAGCCTACCAAAAAATACAATAAGCACGCTGGTTAGAAAGCTTCGTCTTGCACAACTCACTTAAAGCCAGGCAAGGGCACAACTCAAGAACAAGCCATGCGACCCCAAGAGGCTGAAGAAACTGAAAGCTCATAGCCAGATGGATGTGGCTTTTGTTGAGGGTGCCTTTTTTGGGCGCTGTTTTGAAGGGAAACCATGGGGGAGACACTCGCGTGAATGAGAGATTGGCGAATTCAAATACCCAACTGGTGGCCGCACTGCCCTGAGTGGGGCCAAACAAAACCCAAACTGGGTACTCCTTAAAAACAAAAAGAACAAAAATGCAGCAAAATGCAAAACAAACTTATCAAAGGACGATTAAAGGGGGGGAGGGAGGGGGGGATGTACTACCAAAATGGTCCAAAAAGTGACAGGAACTCGCGGAAGTGAGTGGTTGAAAGTGAACCGGCCCCCAAAGAGTGGCCTCATTGTTTTACCATCGTCGAAGTCACCCCCGTGTGCTAGGTGAAAGGGAAGCAACCCCGGCAACTGAGAACCCCACAGTCAAAATCATGACCCGCGCAAGAGTAGTTTCGAGAACCCCTGTTGGGAATGAGAATTGCCATCTCCCCGCAGAAAAACCCATCCATGCTACTGCGGATGGTTTCGAAATCCATTTCGCACCACCCAAGAAACCCTAGAATGATTCGATTCCCCAACGTAAATACCAACAAGCCTTATGGTGTCAACCATGGCTTCATTTCGTGCGAATTGGATTCCGCTTTTCCATCCAACCTGGATCCGGTTCCTTCGATGGTTTCCTTTCAGAAAATCCGGTTCCGGATCCACTTCCTTCCTAACACGACTCGGGTCCAGTCACCTGTCGAGCACGAGCTAACTGTATCTACTTCCATTTGGTTAAGACCCCTGGGAAAAATATATATATATATATATGTGTGTGTCCAGTAGGGAACCTTTCAGCACATGGGTTTGTCTATGCGTCGCGTCAGGCCTCTCCTTCCTCCGACTCGATCTTCCAGAGCCTGAACAAAAACAAACACGGCAGAAGTGCCGTGGGCTCTGTGGGTCACATGGATAATCCCCCACTGAACCCGATAAAAATCTAAAACACTGAACAAATATTCAGCAGCCAAGGGTTACGAAGGTTTATCTTGCTGGCGAGACCCCTCTGCAAAAAGTGGTAGAGTTCTGTGGGTCCAATCCCGCTGTTTCCCACAAAAGTTCCAGTTGAAAGATCCAACCAAAGAGCCGTAAAGTTTTTAGGCCTTACGCGGTAGAACCATCACCTAAATGGCCAATGGGATTGCTTGGCGCTGAATTGAAGCAAAGGGCTGTGTTCCATCCAGACGCATGGCAGTCTTCCGCAAAAGCGCTTCCGCCGGATTCAAGTTGTGGTTTTTGTTTCCCATTGCCACAAGCCCTTCGAAAACAGGCTTTCCCAAAATGATGGGATAAACATAGTCTCTGACTGGAAGTAAGGAATTCCCCACCAAAAACACACATTCACGCGTGAGCTTGCTTGCCCAGCTCAGAAAGCCATTTGCTCAGGCAGAATAAGAAATACTAGGTCCTCCAGTAGAGAGGTTAGAATAAGGGTACCCGATTCTTTTCTGTACTCTATTTTAGTAGGGGAACCCTCCCAACCAAAAAAGAAACGGTGAGAAAGGGCACTATTGGGGGACCTAGGGGATGATTCGCCCCGAAGGTATCGCTCCCAGGCATCGCCCGGCATCGCCGCGCGGGGATATGTGGCCTTCAGCGTTGTGCTTCAAGGGCCGTTTGGCATCACTCTCGGGGTGTTTCTTCCATGTCCATTCTGAACCCAGGGATCCTTCTTTCTAGAAACCTTCGGAAACCCAGGGAAAACGGCTGGTTTTTAAAAAGCAGGTTGGTTGGAAAGCATGGGGAAGCAACCCCTAGGATCACGCGCTTACGGCCGAGTGAGAGAGCCAAGCAAGAGTTTGGTCGAACCCCAAGGCAGGGAGTATATCTTCGGTGCAGACATCAAACTTAAAGAGTTGGTTTCTTTACTTCAGGAATCACCAGATTCATTCCCAACACCCCAAAGGTCATTCCCTACCTATCGCACAAGCAAGACAAAAAGAGGTCTTCTCACCCCATCCCTTACCGTTCACTGGTTCAAAATCTCTCGCGGGCCTTCCAGCGTTTTGCTGGCCAATGGGTGCAACCTCAGCGAGCGAAGCAACGAGCTGACACCCGAATGGCTTGGGATTCTCTGGATTGCATCTTGGATTGCATCCAAGGAAACTTGGTTGCTTTCTGCTCCGCTGCTAACTTTTTAGCGGTTTAATGCAAAGCCCATTAGTTGGCAAAAAGTTAAAGTCCTAACATCCAAGCAACATGCACCAAAGGAAAGCTATACCCGTGCGAGTACAGCTTTTCGACTCACTCCCCGGATTTCCTCGGCCCCCGGCCCCGCTATAAAGGTTGCCGAAGTCCTTGTTCTCAACCTGCGGCGCAATGTTCTGGCAGTAGTCCTCGCGCGGAAAAACAGGACTTCCTCCCTCGAACCACCCCCGCACAAAGTATCATACGATTCCAAGGCCCTTCACGAGGCAGGCACCACCGGCAATGGGGGGGGAGTAAGGTGGGGGGGTTGGAATCCTGTTTTATGATATGCATACATCTATGTGCCTAGCAAAAGACAACCCAACCCGTCTGGGAGGGGGGGGGAAGGAGTTTCTCGCTCCGAAAGTGCAGAAGCCCAACGAAACCAACGATTCACTTCTTTGGGGAGGCATTTAGACAGTGGATCAACCCCACGGTTTTCTTGATAAAATCAGCAACCATGGCATATTTAGAAACTCACATATCCACCCCCTCATGGTTTTCCTGTTAAACAAACATCGGCAATGGCACATGTTTGCGCACATTGAGACTCCTGAAAACGGAAACGCCCCCAGAGTGGTATGCAGGTCTTCTCAAACCTACGCGCTGGCTGGCATCTGTCCAGATTCCGGAGGAAGTGGAACATCAAGCCCAACCTGGCGAGCAATCAGATCAGCTCCCCTTACGGGGTGTGGACCTGGTGCTGGGACCCCGACCCAATTCCATTGATCTGGCTTTCCACACAGGAAAAGGGGTTTGCCATAAATGGAGATCGATTTGAGGGCGGCTAGAAATGGAGGCCCTTTGGTTGTTGGGTTGTTCCCACAGTTCCCATGCAAGCGACGTCTGAGGATGATTGTCGCAAGGTGCGAGCTTGTGCAAACGGCGACACGCTGAACTTGGGCACTGAAAGAGTTGGGTGGCTGACTGTTGAGTTGGGCACTCGGATCCTGACCTTTTTCAGGGTGGCAACACCGGCGGGAAGAAACAGAGGCGCAACTTGAGCTAACCCCCCACCTGTGTGGGAGGCCTTGAGGGAGATGGTTCCGGGGGTATGTGCCCCACCCCCTATGTACCCCACATCCCACCCCCGTATGTTTGGAAAGGAACCAATCCAACCATCACTTCTCCCGACCCCGCTGTCGTGCGGTCGCCTTGTGCACTGCACCTCCGCAGTGTGGACGCCGGGCCTCCCGAAGAACTGCCAAAACGAACTTCCCAGACGGGTCACGTGAGTCACAATAGAACCTTGTCTTGAAATGGTCTACCCACAGCCAGGCTTCAAGAAATGAAAGGCGGCATGGCAAAGGGATTGTCCCGTAAGCTTCATCTGCCGTGAATGGACACACCAGTTGGGACGGGTTGGTTTATCTCATTCATCGGGGTTCATAAGAGCTCATCCGTCCCAACTGGTGCAAGATTTGTCCATCCACACTGTAGGTATTAGTGCTGAAAGGTTTATAGGGTGTATGTTGAAAGGTCTGTAAGGTGTGTTTCTTACCTTGGATGGTTTCCAGATGTTCCGCTCACCTAGCAAGCTGGCATCGCTATGATGACAAATGGAACAACAGGGGTTGGTGAACATATGACGCGGGGTAAAACCTATGTGGATTGAACATCCAAGTACGTGTTCTGCCTCTGGCTTGAATGGTTGCCACTACCTTCAAAGCAATACTGGGTAGAAAGCTCCACCATGGGCTAACAAAGGCTTATGGCTCCGTGCAACATGGTTTCTACTATAGCTAAACCAATACGCGAGAGAAAACTGGGGATGTGACCACATGCTGGGTGTATAGTGGTTATACTTGTATATATATATATATGTATATATGCTTAATCACCCCCCCAAGATCCACGCCTGCTGTGTGCCAGCATCTCTGCATATCCGGCCCTTTGCGCCTTTTATGCAACTACAAACACTTCTGGTGTTTCTTTGTGTGTCATCACTGCGACCCAAAAGTGTGTCTTCCGCCCCCAGGCTGCGGCGAGGGATCTGGTGCTTTGCATTCTGGGCCGTACAGCTACTTCGGGCTACGAGAACAGGCAGTTCTATCATGACACTCATGCGCTTCTTTTCACGTCCCTGCATATGTCATGTGTGGAGGAGCCTGCTGACTTCATGACTGGCCTGCATGGGGAGGAGGTGTTGCCTATGGCCGGTGCCCCTAACTACTAGGGCACGCCTTTGGAGCCCGAAAGGAGCAAGACAGAAAGAGCGCGTTGCGTCGCATCTGATTGCATATGTGTACGGGATGGGTCCCACCAAAACCACCGGCTTGGGGTCAGGAGTAGAGACTCAACTTACGCAATTCTCACATACGTTGATTGAACATATGTCAAGCCCCACGCCGTTCTCTTGAGTCTGCTAATGAGGGCCTCGAGGCCAACAACCGTATGAAGCCACCAAGTTTAACCAGCGTGCGTGTTCACGCTCTCTGCCAATTTCAGACTCACTTGAGCCCAGTCCCTGCGAGGACACACCCGCGGCAGAAGATCCTTATTTTCCACGCAGGGGGGTGGCTCTGCTCATCGGCATCCTGCCATGGAAGGATGGCTCCGCCTGTCTGGAAAGACCGGCGTTGCTCACACGGAGCTGCCAAATTTGTTGCCAGTTCAGTCTCAAGCTCTTTGAGTCAGTGTGCTTCGTTCGCCAAGCACCACGGCACCGCTCAGGGCGGGCAAAGTGATTTTCAATGATGCCAAGGAGACAAGAGGCTCATCCTCCAAAGCACAACTTCCACAAGGCCGAGGCGCAGGAGATCTTCCTACAACATGTCAGACAATGGCGTTGCAAAATGCATGGTGGAACCACTGACGTTGCTGGCAAACCAATTAAAAGGCCTGCCGGCGCCGCGGGATTCTTTAAAAAAAAGTTTAAACACGGAAAAACCGTAAAGACATGTGTCAGTCAGTGATCCCGCGCCGCGGGGCAGCGTCTTTCAACTTGATGCTCCGGTACTTCTCGGGGCTTGGCAAGCCGCGCATGTGCAGCGTGGGCCCGAAAGGCGGCAGCCTCGATTTCCTTGACGGCCGCGCGAGCGATCGGTTCATGAGAGCCTGCGCAGGGTTTGCGGCCCCTCCCTTCCAAGCTGGGCTCCCTGCCGATGTCGGACCTCTCGTGGTGGATCTTGCCGTAGTGCTCCGCCAGCTCCTGCCGCTTCAGGCTTGTCTCCTCGTCGGCGACGTTGAGATTCTTCGCTCCAACTCCTCCAGGTAGTCCTGCGCAGCCCATGCTTGCGAGGGCGCAACCTTGGCAGCGGCCTTCGGCTCGATCCGCAGCCGCTTGCTTGCCAGCGCCTTTGCCCCGGCACGCCCACAGCAGGTGTGCAACGTGGACTAGTTGGGGGCAAAGGTTTCTGGCGAGCCGTCGTCGGCCTGTTTTGGCGGCCCCGGTGGACCTTCACTTGAGCCGGCAGCTCTGGGGGGCTGTGACCGCCCGTGGCCGAAGGGTTGGCAGGAGCCAGCGGTGTTCAGGAAATGCCCAACGCTTGAGCCAGGATACTGGTTCCAAGCTTGCCAAAACATGTGTCGAACATGATTCCGAAACCATGCTGGCGTGAGCTGGAATAGCTGCCAGAGGGTCGCCGCTGGGCGTGTTGAAGACCCGCGAGCCGGACGAGCCCGCGCAGCATGCGAGAGCCTCAAGCTAACTGGCATCCGAGCCTGGGTTTTGGAGGAAGTCCCACATTTCCTGCGGCAGGTAGTCCAGGTGCTTGGCCAGCTGCGTGGTCCATTCGACGCGATGGCGCAAAAGTGCGGCGGCCTGGCAAGCAGACAGCAACTGTCCTTTTAGGGAGAGTTGTGCGGAACCATCAGCACTTCCGTGATGGCGCTCCGAATTCATTTTCAGACGCCTGGGCGTGGTCCAGCACGGCGCAGACTTGCGTCAGCTCGGCGCCGAAGCTCTCCGCGAGACCCGGGCCTGAAGGATAGGAACGTGATCTTGCATTCCGGCGGGGCCCGGGCGTACAAGCTCAAGATCCTGGGTGTGGCGCGCTGCAATGTACCTCGAGAAACCCAAAACAAAAGCGGAAAACGATTGGTTACTGTCTTTTTTGGTTTGTTTGGTTTCTCTTCAGGTTTTGTTTTCCACCAGTTTTGGGGTTTTCTGCTCGAAAACCAACACAAACTCAGTTCTTTTGGTTTCACCGAACCACCGTCTTTTTTGTTTTTCACACAAAAAAGGAAAAGACTAGGGTTGTTTTGGTTTCCGAATGAAACACACAAAAAATTGAGAAAGCCAAAAAACAAGAAACCAACATATTGAGGAGAATCTTTGGTTTGTCACTTTTTTTGGTTGCTTTGTTTTCTTTTCCCTAGACTTCCAAAGGATATGTAAAAAATGGCCGAGGTGGTAAAGTACATTTTCTGGGAAAAGGCTATTTTGCTTAATTTGGTTGGATCATGATTTTCACGAAAATCCCACTTAAAAGTAGCTGGGAGGGGCTGCACAGTCCCATTTTGCCAAGCTTGAGAGTGCTTCGTGCGCTTCGCGTTGCCTTCTGCAGAAACACGGCTCGGGAACTGTTTATTTGATATACGCATGTACTGGTCCAGCATACATCCAGCGTTCCATACATGCATATTTGGCTCACAAGCCTTTGATTGCCCAATTGCCAAGCCAGAAAGGAGCAACAAAGTCCTGAGAAGTCACGTGCCGCGAATTGACACCAAAATGGTGCAAAAACGGGGTGTGCAGAAAACGTCTTTTCTACGGCAATAAATGGCCGTTCTACGGCAGAAAATGTACTTTCTTCGGCAGAAAATTCACTTTCTACGGGTTGTCTACGCTTTGTCCACGGTCCCTCTCGGTCGCAAGTTGCAAGCAACGAGCAACGAGCTCAACAAAGCTCGGTTTTACGACTTGACCTGATGTGAATCCTGATTTTGCTATGTGCTTCCCCTTCTGCGGAATTAAGTGCCCCTGACTTACACCTTACGGTTTTTTGCTTGCCTATGGTTTTCCCGAATGGTTTGCCTGTGGTCTATGATATGTCTACGGTATGTCTATGGTTTGTCTATGGTTTGTCTATCGTGTCAATTTGACCTGATCAGAGCTCGAAGAAATTGAGCCCCCATAGTGGATGCAAAAATGTCCCTTCTCGAGCAAAACATGACCGTTGTCCCAAGGACATTTATTTAATGGCCGAGGAAGTTCTGGGCTTTTTTGTTTTCTCACAGCTTTTTGGTTTTCTGATTAAACAAAAAGCTGGGTTTTTCGGTTTCGCAAAAAACCCAAAGGAACCTAGTCTTTCTTGTTTTCTGAGTGAACAACCAAAGAAACCCAATTTTTCCGTTTCTGAGCAGAAACCCAAACAATTGGGGGAACACTGCAAAACCAAAAAACAACTCGAGAAACCCCAACAAAACATGACAAACCAAAGATTCTCCTCAATATTTTGGTTTTATGGTTTCTTGCTTTCTCGAGTTTTGTGTGTGTTTCATTCGAAAACCAAACAACCTAGTCTTTTTGTTTTTCAGCAAGCAACCCAAACAAACTGTTGGAAAAAAACACAAGAAAACCAAAAGACAAAAAATACGACAAACCAACGATTCTCCTCAGAATCGTGTTTGCTGTTTTTTGTTTTCTCGAGGTGTTCATGGAATTCCCAAGTACTCCTCAAGTACATCTGATTCAAAACATCTAGCAAGCTTTCCTAGGACAAGAAAACATTTCCAAGTACAATAAATACAACATCCGCTTCTGCTCAAAGCAAGCATCAAACCAGGACATGAAATTCTGATGTTTATACGGCACCAACCATCTGCTTCAAATCATCTAGCAAGCATTCCCAGGACAAGAAAACATTTCCAAGCACAAGCAGACACCTGCTTCTGCTCAAAACACTCATCAAACAGCACCACCTTTCTGGTCATCAGATTCTGATGTTCCGAAAATGCTACAAAACAGTGATGCTTATAATTTTCAGCCTGGGCGTAGATTTTGGCGGGGGGGGGGGTGGCCATGTATGTATATATTGAGTGCCCCCAGTAATGCTTATAGTAAGAGGTTTTTGCCGTGCCAAAAGGGGTGGCGCAAAGGGGTGGCACGAAGCGTGGCAGAATATTGCGGTCTTGTTTTGGCCGGCAAAAAGGGGTGGCAGAAATTTCCGCTACCCCCTTTTGACCGGCAAAAAGGGGTGGCAGACATTTCCGCTACCCCCTTTTGGCCGGCAAAAAGGGGTGGCAG